GATATTGTTAATAGAAACGTTATCCCTACAGACAAAAATCAGAGGATACAACTGACGATTTACTATAAAACCAGAAAAACGGCCAGCCTACTCATGAGAAACTCTCCAGACACAAAACAGAACGCTTTAAAAGAAACTAACGTCGTCTATGCCTTCAAATGCCCACTTGGGGACTGTAAGCTCCAAAAAAACCAGTATATAGGCAAGACAACAACATCTCTTTCTAGGCGTTTAACGATGCATAAACAACAGGGCTCCATAAGGAACATATAATCTCTTCCCATAACCAAACCATCGCCAGAGAAATCCTAGTAAACAACACAGAAATCATCGATAGATACAGCGATAGCAGACGGCTTGACGTTTGCGAGGCACTACACATCAAGAAGTCAACACCAGCAATCAACAGCCAATTATTGCACAACTATATTCTACCCACCTCAAGACTCCGCTCCAATATAGAAGCATCAAGAAATATGGACCAATAGGCTTTCTACAAACACTTCTATTCAATACCCATTGTTTCTGTTCTGTCTTGTGTTGATACTTTTAATACCCTATTAATATCCCCTAGTGTTCTGTCTTGTGTTAATGCCACATCACCCTTCCCACCTCACTCAAATGTAATGCCACATCACCCTTCCCACCTCACTCAAATGTAGATATAAAATCAGGGAAACGCAAGTTCTAATCAGTTGTGTATTTGTGAAGTCTTTGAAAATGTAATAAGTTTTACGAAACGCGCCCGTGTCGCGTCAGACTAAAAATAAAAATGAATTTTGGAGAAGTGATTTTTGATTTACCTCCAACAGTGAAGCGTAATGTACGAAAGATTGAGAAAATTCGTGTTAGAATTATTAATCTTACTTTTTCGGTCATATTTAATAATATATGTCTACAGGAAAGACTGCTACCAAATTATACTAATATATATATATATATATATATATATATATATATATATATATATATATATATATATATATATATATATATATATATATATATATATATATATATATATATATATATATATATATATATATATATATATATATATATATATATATATATATATATATATATATATATATATATATATATATATATATTGCGTGTAAGTTGTAATAAATTATTCCTAAATTCAAATTCAAATTCAACTGTTTATCCAGGTAAGGTACATACATACATACAAGGTGTGATACAAACATTAAAGGATTTATAGATGAGTTAGTACATACAATGCCTAAAGCCACTATTACGCAAAACGTTTCGGTCAGGAAAAACACTAAGACCTATATGTACAGTTGTTCTTCCTTGTGAAGAATTAGCAAAAATGGCACTTGTAAGGGCGCCAACGTTCAGCCTGCCCGCTTTATTAAGTTGGATTAGGGCATGGCTATACCAAAGGAAACAAATAGTTAGTATAAATGGAGTTAAGTCATTGTGGAAAAATGTTGTAAGTGGAGTGCCTCACGGCTCTGTTCTGGGACCTCTGTTATTCATAATACTGTATATATAAATGATTTAGATTCAGGTTTGAGTAGCAATATTTGCAAATTTGCCGATGATACAAATAGAGGTATTGAAACTATTAGTTTGCGGATACAATTACAAGACCGAGAGTTAAATTTCCTTAATCTATACATCTCTGATAGCTCCTTTGATTTAAGATACTTGCCAGTGGTGTCCCGTCTCCCCAGCACTCTTTGTCATATAATGACATAATGGGGTGCATACCCCAATGGGTATGGGGTGCATAATGAATGAGCTAAACTAAAAAAAAACTAAGCCACAGGATTTGTAGATCAGTGTTTAAAGGGAATTCGGAAGTAATAATACAGCTGATGCCATCTGTTGGCAAAAAATAACACTATCAACAGGCCCAGTAGCCATAAAATACAGCTTATGCCATCTGTTGACATCAAATTACACTATAAATAAGCCACCCTACAAAATACAGCTGCCGCCATCTGTTGCATCAACTATGCACTATCAAGAGCCGAACAGCAGCCAGTAAGGCGGGTTGTTGCGCTGAAGCAAGAATTCCCGCGCTTCCATCTCATTGGTAGAAATTCTTTATTGACATTCACCGCAACAGCCAATCACAGGAAGGGATCAGCTAAAGGTTCCACCCATTTAATGTAAGTAAAGTAAAGTAAAGTAAATTTTATTGCCCGAAACGCTTTGCGTAATAGTGGCTTTAGGCATTGTATGTACTAGCTCTTATCTATAAAGCCAACAAACTTTGTAAAATCTCTTTATGTATGTACCTTTGCCTAAATAAAAATTATTATTATTATTATTATTATTATTATTATTATTATTATTATTAAAGAAAGTACATACATAGTTGATTTACAAACATAATGTTGGATTTATAGATAGAGCTAGTACATACAATACCTAAAGCCACTAGTACGCATAGCGTTTCGGGCAAATAAAAAATTAATAAATCATCTTTGTTCATCACACTGACCCTGCTTATGACTTTCTGTTCCAACTTTAATCTACCCATAAAATGAGGTGCTGTTTATTTGAAAGTGATAATTAAATATTGCAGGATATAACAGTTGTTATAGAAAGATAGCCTGGCTTCCTGGCCTGGCAATCTTTTATTTGATGTCAATCCCAATCCGTCCATGTTGGGCATGTACCCAACAGCAATTACTGTACTGGGAAAATTTTACTAAAGCTAGCCCCTAGCATCTGGCCTCCAGCCTCAGACAGACAGATATTTCCATTTATATATAAATATAGACAAAGAGAGAGAGGAAGTGTCTTTAGGGCCTCAGAGAATGGGAGAAAGTGTTTTTAGGGTTTCAGCGAGCGAGAGGGAGCAATAGGAAATGTTTTTAGGGCTTAAGAGAGTGGAAGAAGTGTTTTAGGGCTTCAGAGAGCGAGAAGATGAGTTTTTACGACTTGGGAGAGTGGAAGTATTTTTCGGACTTCAGAGAGCAGGAGGGAACATGTAGGCATAAAACAACTTTGGATCTTTCTTTAAGTTTTGAGCAAGTTATTTTTCGTAGTTCCTTTTGGCTGATCTGATTTCCTGGGTGGCTGAGTTTAGTGCCCTTTTATATATCTCATACACAATGATGTCCATCGTGGATTTATACATTCTCCAGAAGTTCCTCTTAGTTATCAAAGCTTGTTTTACTGCCAGAGTCAGCCATCAAGTTTTGTTTCATTTCTTCCTCCTTTTTGGTACATACTTTTGAACGAGTTCCGTGATGACCTTCTTGAAGTGTTGCCAAGATGCTTCCATGTCCTGTTCACTTATTAGCTCCCTCCAGGAGATGTTTTGTAGTTCCTCTCATTACTTCACAGTCTCATCAATGGTAATCTAGAAATTCATCATCATGAACGTTTATGTGGGTTTCTGTATTTGTAATTCATCTTAAAATATCAATACCATGTGACTAATTTTGCTTACATTTTTTCTCGTAATTAGTATTATCAAAAGAAGCACTAAGCCGGGAAGGCTATGTAGCACCATCTTTGTTGTAATAAGTTATTTTTGTGTTACTCCTATTTTAAATTGTTATTTACTAAGAATTATGTACTTTCTACATTTAATGTCATCTAATTTCTTGCATTTCTCTGATAGTGTTTACTCATGTCCTTTATGATCCTTGTTTATTTTGAAGAGTTGGCCGCATTAAACTTGAATTATACTATATTACTCTATTATGTTCCAAGAAAAAATTATAAGAAAGAGTCGCTACTTTTCTAAATTATTCCTTGTACTTCCATTGTTATTAATGTAAATAAACTACTGTACTGTTGCTAGAACTGCTGACTCCATAATGTAATATTCCAAACCTGTCATCCTAAAGTATCACCTTTTTTTTTAATTCATGTGTTATTTTCTTTGAATGTTCTCATTTTGTTAGTTTACTGCTCTTTTAGTATTAAGTGTTTTACCCCTTTCACACCTTCAGTTAATTTTTTTTTATATATTTATTTTAAGTCTTGCCCGAAACATTTTGCATAAGTCGCTTCATTATTATGTGTAACTCCTGTCTCTACAATTGTACATTACTCTTATGTTATTTGTACACACATTCTCTTGAAAAAACATTATTATTATTATTATTATATTGTTCTGAATGCATTCAAGCATAGGCTCTGAACCGAATCTCTTATCAACTGTCTATGACAATCATCACTTCAATGATAACAATTGTAAGTACTATACAGCAAATCTTGCCAACAATGTATTATCAAATAACCATAATATATCTCTAACAGCAATATAAGGTCCCTTAGCAATCACCATGATGCCTTATTTCAAACACTAAATGACCAATTCTCCTTTGTTGTTCTTACTAAAAATTTGGTTGATTGATGACCTTACCTAACTATATATAATACAGTATTCCCATTTATTCAGCTATCCACAACTGTAGACTAAGCCAGAGAGGTGGTGGTACAACAATTTATTACCATAAGGAGCTTTCGTGCACAAAAGTTAACAAATCTAGAGACGCCCATTGAGAGTACATATTTTCCCAGTTCAAAATTAAGAGCTTGAACACCAACTTAACTTTCAGCAGTCTACAGGATTCATAACACTGATGTAGTTGAATTCAACTCCAATCTTAGCAACTTGATGATAAGGAACAAGCTTACAAAAATCAATTATTATTAACTGGAGATTTCAATGACCTATGCCAGCCTGACAACCCATTCGTTGCCAGCTGTGTAAACATTGCTCCTTGTCCGTGTTACATCTGAACTTTTGAAGAAGTGGTATGGATCAATATCCTCCAAATTGTTCAATATTTTGAAAGTATCAAGCAGCTCAGAACAATGCTGTACTGTACAACTTGGAACAATGCTGTATTGTACAGCACAGAACAATGCTGTACTGTATAACTCGGAACATTGCCAAAGAGCAAAGAACAGTACAGCACAACACTGTATAATACAGCATTGTACAGTACATATGAAATAAGGATCTACATGTTTTGTACCGAGAATAATAAAAATTTACATACAAATACTTAATTTTATTGATATTACTTAGAAGGCTTAACAAATCTAACATAGGATCCCTTGATGTGATGTGATAAATTAAATTGTAGATTAAATTAATTAAAATATTTGAACAAATACAGTAAGCAAGATATTGAACCTTAAAAAAACACATTGCTCAAATTTTTTCTGGCAACCAGTTACTGAGCACAGGATGAGCTATTCTATCAATTATTAAATTTTTCTCAATACTGTAGTTGCAATTATCTCGGTTTAAGCAATTTAAGAATTACTACCTTACAATTATTTTTTAGGACTAAAGAGATGTTTTGATCTATTCTGAGTATGCTAGCAGAACCACTAGCAGAGGGATGAGCTACTTCATAACGTTGAAGAGTTACTAGTGATTTTACTAGTATAGTATATAGTAAAGTATATTACTAGATTAATATAGTAACTAGATTTTACTAGTTACTATTGAAGAGTTAAAAACTCAAGCATCTAGAATGAGTAATCACTGTGGTTTATGTACCCCTGGTACTCTATAGTGCACATGTGCCAAGGTTGCTTTAGTTAACAGAGCAACCTTGGAACATTTGAACAAATGAACTAAAACGAATGAGAGAAAGAGAGAGAGAGAGAGAACAAGGTGTACACAAACCTGTTAAGAACCCCTGATCTAGAAGAATATATTCTATTAACATTATCACAGTCAAAATAACTTTGAAAAGGTGGTTGTGATGATAGATGAACACTTTTTTGCATTGTTTTTATATACTCCACAGTAAAAAACATATTCATACTTACAGAAATGTTATGCATACAGGGTAACCTAATTTTTATGGAGTCGTATATCTTAGCCTCATAATTTAATTTCATTTCCATTTTTAGCTTCAGTAATTGAGTGCTCATTAGCCATTTTATTAAATTCCTCTTTTAGTTCTCCAATTTGTTCCTTTACTAACTTAGAGTCTTCATGTTTAATTAAGTTTTTCACATCATCATTCCAATTGTCTGCTATCTTCCCACTGCTATAAGATTCAATTTCTTCTTGTTTTATGGTATCTACTGTTGTGTCACCACCACTATATTCCAAGTCAAGTTTACCTTTAATCCTTATTTTTGCCTTCTTTATGCCATTCAAATTGCTGTCACATGCACTTTTACTTTGTCGTTTTATCTTGATTGGTGGCTTATTTTTCACTTTTTCTGCCAACTCCTTATCCTTTACCCATTTTTCTGGTATTGTCCATTCAATGGGTTCAAAATCATAGTCAGAGTTCATTGAGCTGCCATTCTGATTTGTGTTGCCTAGGCGAGTCTTCCTGTGTTCATCTAGCATTCTCTCTGTCAGCTTCATGGGGTCGTCATCAGGGTTGTATTCCATTTTAGGGATATTCAAAAGTTCTAGAAGACGTTTCATGACATTATCGACGTAGGTGTTGATGATGAGGTCTGCATGGCGGTCCTAAAATAAAAATTAATGAGTACGATAAAAAATTCCATCTTCTGTTATGTGTACAGTACATCATTAATGTTATCCTTTTTTGACAGATTTTTAATAATACTTTGCTTACTAGTAATTTTCAAATAATACTAAAATAGCAAATCAATGAATTTAAATGGTTACCAATTTAGTTGGGTCTAAAATCACCAGTAATACCGAATTGTTACCAATACTGATTGATACAATAAAATCCAAATAAATTTATATACTTGTTTTGTAGGTTGAAGGTTACATATGACCAGTTTACCCCCTCGCTTCTTGGTGTCAACAGGAATGTTACCACTGGGCACAATTTGCAGAGTTGTGCCCAAACATATGCTTAGGTCAGCAGCACTGAAAATATATAACCAAATAAATGTTAAGCATTTTACAAGAGCATAGCCTAAGTACATTCTCTTATTTCAAATATTATTGTTCCTGACGCATCACTTTTCCAATTATATTAATTCATTTTGTCCAGGATAGACAGCCTGTATATGTGTGTGTGTGTGTATGGGGTCTGTACCCCCAAACTGACCTTCTTGAGGATGCAGCCCCTACAATAGTTGACCAACTCCAAAGGGACCTACTTACTGCTTGGTGAGCAGAGACATTAGGTGAGAGGAAATGTGCCCAACTAATTCTGTCCTGCCCCAGATTCAAGCCTGGGATTCCTGACTGTGAATTGAGAATGAACCCAACTACTACCGAGACCCCTTCAAACAATGCAAAGGTGTCAGAAATCAGCATAACTTCAATAAACCCAACAATTTTAAAAATGTGCAAGTGCAACCCATCTTGTAACACACCTGACCTGTTTATACTTCAGTCTTTTCCTTGTACTAAATCTTGTCCATAAGAATATAAAACCTGTCCTCAAACTTAATGCACCATAATTGTTATGCTAGTGACCACAGTATCAAGATTTCTATGCATTAGGGAAATTAAAAACACTGCAATATTGATGTTTCCTGCATATGTGTGTGAGAATTGGTTTGAATGAGGCAATTCATGTCTCCCCTAATTAGGAAAAAAGATTTATCTTTTAACACTAGTTATGAGTCTTTATAGAATTACATTAATTACTACACTTAGCACCTGACTCGATTAGTCAAGTATTTGTGAAAGTAAATGATCCTATTGACAGCAGTACTTACTCAATATGCCAATCAGTTACACCAACTTGAGCAAGTGATTGCACCATATGCACTAAGCAATTTGTACTCCATTAACACATTCAACCAACTTGATTATAAAGAGTGAAAAGAGAAACGGTTTTCAATACACTAATTCATATTACTTGCCATGAGTGAGAAACGGCCAAGTCAAGATCAGCATCGGGCAATCCATCTTCCCAATCCAAAACAGTATCGTGAAGCTTCCCGCGGCACCGTCTTCCGTTTCCACGTTTTCCTGGACATGACTTGCCTTCACTTTTCTGGCCAACAGTTGTGACTGCAGTGCTCCTTACAAATTGTCTGGTCAAAGTAAACATATTTATGAAGAGCCATGCGCTAACATGGATGCTGTCAGTTTCAAATATATATTTCAAACAAACATGTCATCGTCCAAGCAAGATGACATGCAATGTCTCACCTATGACAAAGGTTGCAGTTATCTACAAACATGTCATCGTCCAAACAAGATGACATGTAATAACTCACCTATGGCAAAAGTTGCACTTATCCACATACATGTCACCATGAAGCTCTGCTAATCTTTTACGTTGTAGCCCTGACCTAAGGTGGAGACCATCTATGTTCTGTGTAATCACATACTGCACATATCCTAGGGGATAAATGTTGAGCAAATATTAGCAGTAGTTTTTAAAAAGGCAAAATTTTAAGGAGCCATTTTAAATTATAGTATAGTTATACTATAATAGTTATTTTCAGTTATAGTACAAACTATAGTATATATAGTTTATTGTATAGAATAAAAAACAACCATTAAATGCAATGGAACCCCTTTTACATTTATGGGCTCACCATAGCCCATGCTACATGGACATTTCGTTCCGAGTAGCTAAATCTAAAACAACAACAACCCTTTTACAGGTGTTTCCTCGGTGGCTTCATGAGCTACCCATCCCCAACATTCTACATTTTAGTTGCCACAACAGGCTTTTAACGACTCACAAGTGCCTATATGGACCAGAATCTGGACCCCTAAATAGAAGCAAAGGAAAGACTGGGGGTCCCTGATCGTAGAGAAGAAAAAATGAAGAGATAATCCTCGCAAACAAGCAACTGCTTGGACAACATTTGCAAAAATCATATGACCTATGTAAACACTCATTAGTAAAGATGGATCAAATGGCAGCCCAGGCTAGTCAAGCCTCTCATTCATGCATTTCCCCAATATATGACCTTTGAACAACACAAGAAGAAATGGAAGGGGAGTAATGAAAGTCTACTGATGGCTCTACCAGAAAGAGGTACTGTATTTCATTACATCCACCTCTGGATTTCTCCCTCCTGGGAAGACCATTAAGAAAGGTCTCCCCAGTGATCTTTTGGGAGAGGCAGAGCCCAGGAAAGATGTGCAGGTCTCTACCAAGGGGTCCAGATTCAATGTCTCTGGTGGGTCCAGATTCATTGTCTCTGGTCCTGGTGTCTGGGAGGTGCATGTGAATCAATAGAGCCTGGTGCAGTTCTTAAGTGTGTTAGCAGTCCCTGTGGTGTAGTGGTAAAGCACTCGCCTGGTGCTTCACGAGAGCTTTAGCCTCAGTTTGTATCCTGGCTGAGGAGGATTTTCTTGGCACTAATCCTTAACTGTAGCCTTTGTTCACACAGTAAATGTGTCCCTGGTAGTTAAATAGTTTGGCAGATCGTATTCCGGGGAAATATTAGGATTAAGAACCTGCCCGAAATGCTATGAGTGCTAGTGTTTTACAAGAATATAAAAACTCTTGTGCAGGTATATATAAATACTGTATACAGAAAATTGTTTTTAGCTAGCCAGTTGGGTAGTTAGGAGAGCTACCAAGGGATCCCTCTCTGAAAATAATGTGAAAACCCTCGAGTATGCCTACCATTCTGATTTAATTCTAGAGATGTACCACAGTCATGGAAAACAACAAAAATTAGAAATACAAAATTAGTTAGGGCTACACTGTCCAATTTTAACAGGAACCTTACTTTTATGATCATTCAGAGCTGCTGTGTTTCCAGTCAATAAGAAAAAGTGGTGTCAAGATATCACACACAAACTTAGGTAAGGAGGTGGTTTTTAGGATCAATGTCCCTGCAGCCGTTTCTGATCAGGCCTCTTATTGTACCTGGATTGTACCTGGAAGGGGTTCTGAGAGTTTTTATACTCTCCAAGCTCAGCCTGAGGCTGGGCTCAACTTGTGAGAGCTTGGTCTAATAGGCTGTTGCTTGGAGCGTCCTGCAGACCCACATATCCACTACATCCCAGTTGGTCCAGCACTTCTTGCAGAAAACTATCCAGCTTTTTCTTGAAGACTTCCAATTTTGTTCTGGCAATATTTCTTATATTTGCTGGGAGGCTATTGAAATTACAAAACCGAATGGTATTATTATCAGGGATATCCAGTTAATAGAAAAGTAATTCTACTAGAAGACAAAAAGCTATAACACAAATTTTTCACAAATATGTATAACACTTACCATTACGTTCTAAACTGACAATGGCCATGTGAGTGAGTGTTGGCTTCGCATCATCCCAGGATACATTTATGTCTGGTTTCAATCCTTGCTTCTCCAAAGTCCATACTCCTTTTGGACCCCTGAAGAGAATTTTATAAAATAAAATACAAAAAATCAAACATTGAATACAGTGAAATGTTCTTTCCTCAAAAACCCATCTTTACCTACTGGGAGCTAAACACAGAATCCGGCCCGCTCTACATGGCAAGAGCAGCTTAGGAATCAGAGATAAACTTAATGCTGCAAACGATCAATGTAAACAACCACTGTGTGCCTGACTGAAAGCATGTGCAGCCATGGATAAAAACAATCACTTATGCATAAAGCACAGCACCCAGCTATCCTGCAGAACCTCCAACATGGTACCGATTTACCCTGACTTGTTCCAAGTATTCTTGTCCAACATTTTCCTTGAAATGTATCATGCCAACCCTTAAGTTAATGTGTTTCATCCCCAAGTTTGTTGACTTCAGCCTTGAGTACGTGGCACCGCTTGAGCCAAAACTTGGGGAAAGTCACGGACTGGGAGCAATGGTTGATCACTAATGGAGCAAGCCACTAAGACTTGCTCCATTAGTCCTACGGCAAGACAACACTGGCAAACACATTCACCAAAGACTAACACATGTCACACAACATAGTATTAAATTATAATATAAAACTGAAGGAGATTTCTTATTTTTGACTTACAACAGTACTTTCCAGTACAATACAGTACTGTAAAGTACTAATCTATTTTGTGTATTACTGGCTTTATTTAATATGCAACCCCTGTACCTTCAAATATACCTGTTTTATGTATGCACATTTTATGAATAAATTATTATTGTTATTATTATTACTGTATTATTATTATTATTATTATTATTGATATCAGGAGCCATGCAGAGGATTTGAGCCTGCACACTGGATACTCAAAAGCACATGACTTAAATCACTGTACCACGATATGCTACAGAAGTAATGTAACCTGGGATCCAACTGAATACTGTACTCTAGGGTTCCTGAGGCATCCAGTTGACACCAAATCCTACTTTCACACATTACCCGCATACAGTCTGGTGTGGTACAGGAGTTCTACCCCCGAACACTCTCTCAAATGCACAAATGATACACCACATTAATATGATTTCGTTGTACATTATTATGAATAATAATAATATTATTAATAAGTAGTAGTAGTAATGGTAATGTCTTTTCACAGAAATAATAACATAGGATAAAAATCCACACTTGTGTACTGGTATTTGTGAAATTTACCAGGGCAAAAACCTAAGATCAGAATTGAAGAACATAAGAAAGCATGTAGAATTATGGCTGGTAACAATATTGTAGCAAACCATAGTTGGAAAAAGCATCACAATACTGTATTGATTTTAAGAAATGTGAAATAATCTATAAAAGTAATACAATAATATTATAACTAGAAGGGTAGTGGAAGGGGTTCTAATATATTCTCTAAATACTTTTGCTGGCAACAAAAGTTTTACTTCAGAGGATAGCATTGCTAGGAAAATGATTCTGAATGAATTAAAATTAGATCTCAATAAATGGATGAATGAAAGCAGTTCCATTAACCGCATTCCTTGGGGTATGGAGAGGGTTACGAGGGACAGCATCCAGAACACCACCTCTGTTAATAACAACTCCAATTACCAGAATAGCAGGATTACAGAAAGGACATATGACCACAATTTTGTAGAAGACATTACTGCAGGTACAGCAGCAGTCAGGAATAGAGGCAACATGGTCAGGAGGTCAAGAAGGATAAGAGGACTGGACCCAGGATAGCAGCCTCGTTAGATGTTGAGATGTAAGTCTCGTCCTAATCACACTCAGACCTTGACAAAGCACTCAGGAGAGTGCAAAAAACTTGGAGTAAATTCCTTACATAAATTTGACTAATACACAAGTGTGGGTTTTTATCCAATATTATTATTATTATTATTATTACTTAAAAGTAACAAGGGTAGGCTTCTCTTATGCCAGTAAAAACCAGCGTTGAATATTATGCAACATCTTTTTCTGGTAGAGCCTCTTGGTGGCTCCCTGAAGCTCCCTAACCACAGAGAAAGAGACAAACATAGGACTTACCCTGGAGAAGAGATGATAGGAACTAGGTAGAAGAGACAGTAGAATAGACAGTGGGCTGGGAAACCTAGCCCAGTGCAACATAAGACTAACTGGAACAAGGAACACTGACCAAATAATGGGCTGCCAAGACCTCTGTTAGACTCACAAAACCCCCAAGCCCAAATATCAGCACATGATGTATTAGAAAAGACAGAAGCCAAAGTGGTGAATTTATGAACATTTTTGGGGCGAAGGATAGACTGCAGGCTGGTTAGCTTTGACTACACTGCAGACAACCTGCAAAATACAAGCCTTGGAACAAGGGGACCAAGGAAAAAAGATCAACCAGCAAAGTGTCCACCAAGGTGGAACTGTTGGCATGCAGGTAGTGGCAATGCGTTGCCACCAGACATGGCAAATGATGCACTCCCAGCATAACCAAGCATTAATCTCCAAAGGACTCCTCCAGAAGCCAGCTGACTCGTTCTCCATCAAAAAAGGGAGAACATCACAATTGAACAAACCACCCAGCATATCCGAAAGAACAGAACTCGCATTGTAGAACTCCCCCATTGTACATTCTTGTGTGTATATACATTATAAATATAAAATTATATACAGTGCTATATATATAAAAATATCAAATACCTAACAGAAAAATACTGATTTAAATATCATGGATTACGAGATGGATTACGGATGGATTACGAGAACTTTCAAATCCAGGGATCCCATCACAATGGTTGTAATCTTCAAGTCACTTGTGTTGTCCCGTCTTGAGTACTGCTCAGTACTCACTTTCCCCTTCAGAGCAGGAGAGAGTGCTGAAATAGAGGGAATATAGAGAACATATACGGCACGCATAGACGCGATAAAGCACCTAAATTATTGGGATCGTCTCAAAGCCCTCCAAATGTACTCACTAGAAAGAAGACGAGAGAGATATCAAATAATATACACCTGGAAGGTACTGGAGGGCCAAGTACCAAATCTATACAGTAAAATAACAACGTACTGGAGTGAACGATATGGAAGAAAATGCAGAATAGAACCAGTGAAGAGCAGAGGTGCCATAGGCACAATCAGAGAACACTGTATAAACATCAGAGGTCCACAGTTGTTCAACACCCTCCCAGCAAGCATAAGAAATATTGCCGGAACAACCGTGGACATCTTCAAGAGGAAACTAGATTTATTTCTCCAAGGAGTTCTGGACCAACCGGGCTGTGGTGGGTATGTGGGCCTGCGGGCCGCTCCAAGCAACAGCCTAGTAGACCAAACTCTCACAAGTCAAGCCTGGCCTCGGGCCGAGCTTGGGGAGTAGAAGAACTTCCAGAACCCCATCAACCAGGTATCAACTAGTAATGTTATTGCTAAACCAGAAAAATGTATTCCAAAGTACTCACCTAAAATCTGGTATACCTGCAGAGGTACTAATGCCTGCTCCAGTATGGAAAACTGTATGGCTTGATTCTTTCACCCACTCAGCCAGCATTTGCACCTTTCTCTCCACCTCCTCAGGAGAGTCAAATTTCTGAAGTATTTGTAGCTTGTTAGAAGTGGCACACGCAAAGATAACTAATCTTATTGTTAAAGCCATGTTATAGCTCAACTAAAATTTATGTAGACTGAGATGCAAAAAATCAAGTAATTAATAATAAATTGAAGGATTGAATGTAATGAAATACCTTTTTCTGGTGGGGACCAGACAAGATGCAGAAATAATTTATTTTCATTTTTATTAACAAGCTTAGATACACAGCAGTGTGCTGCTACTCAATTCTATATGAGGATTACAGACAAGATATCAAGAGCTAGCTATAATTAAGTTCATATAATATCCTTAACTTACATGATAGTCATATACAGTATATTATAAGAGAAAAACCTTAAATGAGAGTTTAATCTACTAGCCTGCATTAGTAAATATTGGGTAGAGTATGAAAATATCTTCCAATACAGTATCTGTTGGGTGAATACTATACATAATTACAAAGCTCAAAGTATCTCATGTCGTTTGGTCTTTAATCACTCATAATAGAAGTATTCACAAATACTTTACAGTGTTGAAGACTATCCTAGCTCTTGTTCACAGTTTACAACTGTACTGCTCACTATTGGGAGATTTATCACATGAAGTTACCTGCCATAAGTAATGATATCACAGCCTAATTATGGCAATTTCAATGTTAGACTGTCTGGTGGATGTTTATGCTGTCCATACATAAAGTTTTCAGTTCCTAAATCAACAACAACAACAGTTCTAAATATATCATAATTCTTGATATATAGTGTACCTTTATGTGCTTTCTGCCCTTTGAGTGTCAGTGATTGCTCATATCAACCCAAGTTTCTTGAAATTGTGTCGTTTCGACGACAGATTTGAATACCCAGGTCAAGCTCAATTTCAGGTTCATTGCATGCAACTTTAGCTGCCTTCTTCATATCTTCATGTTGGCCAATACCTATGCGAGATGGTATCCATACAAAAGATACCATCTCACATCTGTTTATAACTGGTTAATTGTTGTTGCCAGCAGCAGCTGGTTAATTGTGGCATATATTAGATTTTTACCTTATTTACCCGAGGGCCACTAACATTAGTGGCCTCGACGAGGACAGGAAGCTGGCGGCATTTCGAAAGTCCCCCAATTTGCCTTGATGATCTTTTCCAGGTATAAGATAAGCTTATAGGTAGCTTTTTATCTATGCTGTACTCTGTAATCCTTCATATAGATTAGGATAGCCGCACATTTGCTGTGTATACTTATCTGATATACTAAAAAGTGTAAATACAACAAATGATAATTCATTGTACAGTAATAATTAATTCATTGTGTCAAGGAACAAGCAGCCAGTTTATACACACAGTACATGTTAAGGTTATACAGCATTGAGCCTCACCCCCCACCCCCAAGGTCAAATTAATAACCCCTCCCCCAGGGTGCAACCCCACAACAAGCTGACTAACTCCTGGGTACCAATTTACTGCTAGGTGGAGAGGGGCAATAGATTATAGGAAACATACACAACGATTTCTGTCTCGCCCGGGATTCGAACCCGGACTTCTCGATCGTGAGTCAAAAACGAAGTCAACCATACTACCGGACGCTTTTAAATACAATAATTCACAATACCCCGATTAAATAGTCGTTAGTCAGACAACTCCCAAATTAACGATGAGAAAATACTTGCTGTGTATTTTCCTACAAGACCCACTTAACAAAATGTGCAGAAACAATGTTAGGCTAGAACAATGTTGATGTCATTAGCATGCAACAGTTGTATATTTCTAAAAAATTTGACATATATGTTATTTAGGTCCTATTCACTTATAAGGAGCAAATTTAACTGAAGAATGCAATGGAAATTCAACAATTTAACAATAAAAATTAAACAAATATATAAATGAGAAAATATATAATTTACTTGAATTAACCTGAAGGAATAATGAATCAAAATTATTCCACAATTGTTAATTGTGAAAATAAAGTGTAAAAGGGTTAATATTTACCTCAGGTAAGCCAAGTTTGCCTTTATTCTCGTACTTGCTGAGGCCATCAGCGTAGTTACACGACATGGCGGCTGGAGGCTGCTGGCCCGGGCTCTCCCTCCCTCTCTCTCTCTCTCCTTCCTTACTGTACCCTCACTCTCACTCACGGTAAGTATGGTGAGGAGGGTCACAATAGGCTGCTGCTGGTCTAGGCTGTGAGGGTAGGCCTAGTGCTGGACTCCAGTGTGCGCCATGGGTGTCTGGGGGAAGGTTCCTGTCGGCCTGGCTCGGCTCTCACTCTCTTCTCACACTCTCCTCACTATACCCTCACTCTCACTCACGGTAAGTATGGTGTGGAGGGTCACACAAGCTGCTGCTGCTGGTATAGGCCGTGAGGGGTAGGCCTAGGGCTGGACTACGGTGCTGTGTGCGCCATGGGCTCCTGTCTGCCTGGCTCGTCTTATTCTATTACTCCAACCTTTCTTCTCATGCTTCTCTTCCCTCATTCCTCGACCATCTTCAGCTTCTCCAAGTCCTACTTGAGGCTGGCCGTGTGGTCTCCCGGCCACTTACTGGCCTCACCCAACGCCGCTTAACCTGACTGACCAAGCCAGTCGAACATTTTCACAAAGTTTCTTGAATTTTTGTTTCTATTTTATCCTTCGAAATTGTCCTAAATATTGTGTTAATAATTACAAATTAGAGCCAAGATCCCAACAAGAGCCATCTTTAATTGCCAGCCATTTTTGTATACATTTTTTTCATATTGGAACATTTTTTTTATTAAAGTCAAATGTAAGAAATGTTCATGAAACAGAAGTGTTTGGCTAAATTTTGATTGTATATAATTTGCAATATACTTTTAAAGGGGCTTTCGTAATGTGAACAGTTTGCAAAGGATCATGTAGTTGACATATTGATAGGGGGCGGATTAAGGGAACTTATTTATTCTATACTGATTCAGTACGCGTAATTTACTAGTTAATATAATATGTTATGGGAATAACGTCCAAGGGAGTGAGGAGAGGGGTAACTAGACAGTTTACATGTAGGGAAATTGCAAGTAAATGGAGTAAGCTATTGTCTTCACTGGGTTAGGGGCAACTACAGCACGGGACCGTAATATACCTGAATTTACCTGAGGGCCATTAACACTAGTGGTCTCGACGAGGACAGGAAGCTGGCGGCTTGTCGAAGGTCCTCCCCATTTGCCTTGATGATCTTTTCCAGTTGGACTTTAAACTGAACAGAGTTTTGGCATTGACGACTTTGGCGGGTAGGCGGTTCCATGGGTTTATAACCCTGTGGGTGAAGAAGCATCTCCTGTTCTCAGTCCTACAGTGTGGCTTGTTGAGCTTGAAATCGTTACTCCTTGTTTGTGTAACATCTGACTTTTTAAAGATGTTCGGCTCAACATACTCCAAATTGTTCAGTATTTAAAAAGTTTCAATGAGATCCGTCCTGCCATGCCAAGTTTGCAGTGTTGTTAGCCTTGTGGCCTTCAACCGTTCCTGATACTACGAGAGTTGACTTAGCTCTGGAATGATTTTTGTTGCCCGGTGTTGCACTTTCTCCAGAGCAGCTATGTCCTTCTGAAGCTTGGATACAGTAATCCAATTGGGGGCGCACCAGAGATTTCTACAATTGAATCACTACCTTTTTTCCATAAAGTCATAAGTACACTTGTGTATTACATGGGTTTGGTTAGATTTTTTTACTGCTGCTCCTACCTGCTGTGCAACTTTCAGTGAGTCGTGGATTTTGACTCCAAGGTACTTTTCTTCATCAATCTGTTGTAATGTAATGTTATTAATTTGGTAGTCGTGGCGTGGGTTGCAATACCTCACATGCAGGGTCTTGTATTTATCAATAGTAAAAAGCATTTGCCAGTCTTCTGACCATTTGTCGAGTTCATGTAGATCTCTTTGTAAGGCTTCAGTATTATTATCATTTTCCACTTTACCATAAACCTTTGTGTCGTCTGCAAATTTGATGATGTAGCTTATAATATTCACATCTATGCCATTGATGTATATGACAAAATGGGTAGGCTCCAAAATGAACCCCCTGTGGTACCCCACTTGCCACACTTCTCCAGTCAGATCCATTCCAGTATTCTTCCATTTATTCCATGGGCCTGTAATTTCCTTGCCAGTCTTTCCTACGGTACCTTATCAAAGGCTTTAGCAAAATCCATGTATACTACATCAACCGGTAGCTCGTTACCGTTTCCTAAAATGTGAGCAGGTTTGTAAGGCAGGATGTATTTTTAACAAATCCATGAATTTATCTGAATTTACCCGAGGGCCACTAAAGATAACCCCTTTTTTTACCCTCAGGTAAATTCAGGAAGCCGACGGCTTGTTAAAATTTTCTCCATTTGTTCTGATGACTTTATCAAGCTGGATTTTGACATTCAGCTGTGTTTTGACATTTGGGACCCTGCAAGTCAAGGGTTTCAAAATGCGAAATGACCTTCCTAATCACGTTAGCTAAATGAATTGTGGGGTTCAGTCCCTGAGCCCATTATGTGCCTCTGTAACCCTTTCCACTACCGCCTACAAGATGGGTATGGGATGCATAAAAAAATGAACTATACTAAATTAACTAATCACGTCAAAGATTGCCCTCTCTCAACCATTTCAAGAGAAAAACTAAGTACTACATAATTAACTCCATTTAACGTACCTTACCTCCTAAATGTCAATCTATGTCTTGCTATTATTAAACATTAATGATTAAATTGTAAAACTGCTGGAACTTATAGTGCTTATACTACTTCCTTTACTACTACTTATATACATGGCAGATGTATATAATCGGTCTCTGGAGAGCCCTGGAACGGGCTCTCCAGAGGTAATCCGAGAAGGGAATGTTTACAGAAACGGAATGAATAATGACCAAACCTGTCTTAGCCAAGGCCCAGGAACGAAGGGGGGGGGAGAGGGGGGAAAGAGGAAGAGGGTTGGGGAGAATGGGGAGGGGGGAAGGGATAAGAAAAGGGGAAAGGAATAAGACGAGGAGGAGGGAAAGGGGAAGGAGAGATGCTAGGTCTGTACAACAGACCGTTACAACATCACCAGCATGGGTTCAGGGATGACAAATTTGGCCTCACAGGATTAATAGAATTCTATGATCAAGCTACAAAAATTAGGCAAGAAAGAGAAAGGTAGGCAGACTGCATGTATCTGGATTACCAGAAAGCCTTTGACACAGTACCACATAGTAGACTAGTGCATAAGTTGGAGATGCAGGTAGAAATATAAGGGAGGTGCTCCAGTGGATAAAAGCGTACCTAAGCAACAGAAGACAACGAGTCACTGTGAGAGGTGAAGTTTCAGAGTGGCGAGATGTCACCAGTGGAGTCCCACAGAGTTCAGTCCTTGGTCCTATCCTGTATCTGATATATTTAAACGATCTTCCAGAGGGAATAAACTCGTTTCTCTCAATGTTTACTGATGATGCACACATTATGAGGAAGACCGAGGAAGATAGCAAGAGGCTACAGGATAACCTAGACAAACTGAATGAATAGTCCAACAAATGTTTCTAAAGTTTTACTCAAGTAAATGTAAAGTAATAAAGCTAGGTGGAGGGAACAGGCCAGACACAAGGTACCGAATGGGAGACGAAGTCCTCCATGAAATGGACACAGGGAAGGATCTTGGAGTTGATATCACACCAAACTTGTCTCCTAAAGGCCACATCAAAAGGATATCATCAGCGGCGTTTGCGAGGCTGGCTAACATCAGAACTACCTTTAGAAATTTTTATATGGAATCATATAGAATCTTGTATACCACATGTCACCAATCCTGGAGTACGCTGCCCCATCATTGAGTTCATAACTTGTCAAGCCACTAGACTACTTCTAGAACTAAGAGGTATGAGTTACGAGGAAAGGCTGCGTGAATTGCACCTGAAGGTCTTAAATATCACCCCTGATATTTAAGATAATAAACAAACCCGATAAAACCATGATAAACCCGTCAGGTACGAAATTTAAGCTCTAGAAGGATATCAACGTAAAGTCCCAACATGTACAGCATGCCCAGGTCCCCTAGAGTCCCTGAGTGACGGCTCCATCCGTCAGGGGTGAAGTGGAGCGTAATCAGCAAGAATTAACAGCTGGCGGAAGTAAGTGCTTCACTAATATCACTTGTAACCTGGAGTTCCTGCTCTGTTTATCTCCCCGTGGGAGAGCGCGAGACCTCTTGAGCGTTTTGTGAACACATTATTGCTAGGCTCTCAGACAGTTGTTGTTCGTACAGGTGCCCCGAGGCTCTCAGACAGTTGTAGCTCTGGTAGACGTATCGTACAGGTGCCTCAAGGCTCTCAGACAGTTGTAGCTCTGGTAGACGTATCGTACAGGTGCCTCAAGGCTCTCATAGACAGTTCCTGCAAGTTCTTGCCTTTTATAAATGCAAAAATTAATTACAGAACAAATATGCAAGTGTCACTCATTTTTAAAAAAAAGGCAGAACGAGCTCGGCAGAAAACTATACCGTCCGATCAGCTTGACATCACACCCCTACAAGCTCACGGAGAGAATCCTCAGGGAAGGAATCATTCACCATCTCACAGTGAACAATTTCGTAAAATCAAACCAACATTTTTTTTTAACTAGATCCTGCCTTACAAACCTGCTCACATTTTTGGGAACGGTAACAAGCTATTCAAAGGTCTTCCGGTAGATGTAGTATACATGGACTTTGTTTAGGCTTTTGATAAGGTACCACATGGAAGAACAACAAGGACCTTAGAGGAACATGGAATAAACGGTAGAATACGAGAATAGATAAAAACAATGGTTAAAATCTAAGGGTCTCCCTAAACGGAAATGAATCTGACTGGAGGAATGTGGTGAGTGGGGTACCACAAGGGTCCATTCTGGGGCCAACAATGTTTATCATATACATCGATGACATAGATGAGAATATTACAAACCACGTCATCAAATTTGCAGATGACATCAAGATTTATGGTAAAATGGGAAGTGAAAATGATATTGAAGTCTTACAGAGAGATCTACATAAACTCCACAAATGGTTAGAAGACTGGCAAATGCTTTTTAATATCGACAAATGCAAGACTTTGCATGTGGGGCATAACATCCCACCTCACAGCTACCGAATTAACCTTACAACAGATTAAGGAAGAAAAGGACCTTGGAGTCGGAATCTGCCATTCTGAAAGTTGCGTAAGTGGGAGAGGCAATATAAAATAAGCTAACCAAACCCTAAGAATTATTTAGTGCACCTTTGATATAAAGGAAAATAAGGCAAAAATAAATTCAATTGTATAAATCTCTGGTGCGCTTGGATTATTGTATGCATGCATGGAGACTTTCTCTTCAGAGGGAAGAGTATTTTTTTTTTTTTTGCAGGGATATTCCTGCGCGGGCCCTAAGCCTCTGGCTGGCCCACTAAGTGTACTTGTTTCTGTTCTACTTGGGCGGAGTATGAGTATTTATGACTCGTATGGTCGCTTCAGTAAGATTTTGTCCCTTGTGTTTAACAACTTCTGATTTTTTTGGAGGAGGTGCACCACCGGGCAACAAAAATCATTCTACAACTAAGCCAACTCTCATACCTAGGTTCAACGAGCCAAGCTCAACTAGCCGCAATGTAGAACTTTAAACAGGAGATGCTTCTGTTGACCAAACCACACACTAGAAAGTGAAGAGACGACGACGTTTCGGCCCGTCCTGGACCATTCTCAAGTCGATTGTGCTTTTCATCCACAGGA